AGGAAGCTAAATTTGGGCTTCCTTGGAGTTCTAGTAAGTGGGCTCACCCTACGAGAGGTGGGGTTTCTCCTATTTAGATTTAATTTCAACATAAAATATGGTATATGAAATGGGTAGGCTATGGGTGTATATCACATATTAGGTCTTAACTAATGTAACCAGTGGATCAAATATAGGATTTATAATTAACTTTGTAATTAATAAAATCCTATTCTGATTAACTTGGTCTAAGTTAATGTTAGTGGTTTAAAGTATGTTAATTGTACATTAGTATTATTTTATGTTTTAAATGACACATTAAGTTTAATAAAATTATTAACTTGTTATGTGATTATGAAATAATATGTATGTTAAATGATTATTTAGCATATGATTATTATGGTGAACTTTTGCTTATATTTATAAAATTAATAAACATGTTGTCATGTTGAAAATATCATTATATTGCATTTTTTATGTAATGGACATTGTAAATGGTACCAAAGGCAATTACACATTAAATTGCATTATGCATAGATTGCATTACATTCATGGTCATTGACATGGGTGAGAGTGTGTGCATAAAATGAAATCAATCACCACATAAGTGGTTGATTGTGCGCTCGAAAAAGTCGCACTAAGGTCCAGTTGAGTCACATGAAAAATTAAATAGATAAACGTGTCGGGGATAGCAAGAAGGACTAGATTCTCCCTCGAGTGCAAGACCCGCTTACTTGGTTTATACACTTTTCGGCAGTGAAATTCTAGAAAAGTGTAACGGCCAAAACGGAGCCGCAGGTGGGATGTCCTGAGAATCCATTGATGATTGGTGTCCCATTGGTGTAATACCATAAATTATCTCCCCACAAAAATACAAGAAAATAAATTACTTAGTCATTGAGTGTACATAACACTAATGACGGGGCTTGGAATGCCCGGATATATATGCATGACATTGCATATGTTGTAGGAGTTCAGGATGGGGCTTGGTGTTGGTATTGCTTGCGTGAGTCTCATCTCATGACATGACATGATTTATGACATTTGTTCATAATAGACATATTTTAATAATTGCATGAAATAATTATTGCATGTGACATTTCATGTGCATTTAGGTTGAGAGGTATTCTTTATAGGAGTTACCCTATTGAGCGTTGACTCACCCTTTATTGGAACATTTTTCAGGTATTGCACAGGCGTCCACCGAATGCGAGGCCATGGGCCCGCTTTGAAGACAGAGCCGGTTTGTGGCTCTTCTTTTGACATCGTAGTCCTCGTTTACATTTACTTTTGGCCTTGTGTAATTTTTTTAACAAAAACTTGTTTATATTTAAAAGACATGTATAAGGGACTCTTTTGAGACATTTATTCTTTTATGAATGAATGTACGTAATGATGATGATTATAGTAGTATCTGATACTATGCTGAGTAGGGATGAATGAACCCAGTGTGGTTAATGTTATATGATTGCACAAGTTGCGTTTTGGGTAGAGCTCCCTGTACAACGGAGATTCTGTCTAAATTTTGTTAAGTTATGAATCTCGGTAAATGGGACATAACGGCATGGTATTGAATTACATGGTATCTACTGGTATTCTGCGGGTTGATGGGTGATCAACTGGGTAATTACTGACACTCGAATTTTGGGACGTCACAACTCCCTAGGCAAAAGTGAAATTTTTGTAAAGTATTACAATATTTTAAAGTAGTATAGATATATAGTTGAGTATATATCATATCGAATTGTTTAAAGGATTCATGTTATATTTGGGTAAATTAGTGCACTTATTTATTTAATTTCATATTAAGTTCATTGATCGTGTCTAAAATTGTCAAGCCAAATTACAACTACCGATGCTATTTCCAAGCCATTTACTTGCATTGGTTGATTGATAATCATAGCCAGCCACTAAATTCGTTGGCTTTTAAATTGCATAATGCAAGAAAAAGTAATATATATATATATATATAATGAGAATATCTATTAAGGTAGAACCGCTTTAGATTCATCCCTGTGAGATCAAACTCCAAATGTCTATTATCACCCATAAATCACAAGTCTCAATTAAGTTTGGAAGACACCAATGAGAGTCAAATTTCTGACGTCTGAATTTATAATTTGTCTAAACCCAACCCCACACCACAAGGCTACTTGTGTTGTTTAGAAAAAAAAAAGATTTTTAATCCCGAGTTTAAGTGCATAAGTTGTGTAATCTATATAATAATAAGATAGAGCTCATTTCAAAATTTTCAAATTGGAATCAACTCTCTCAATTTAAAAAAACAGAAGAACAGTTATGATTTAATTGAAGTTTAAGTATACGATTCCGATCTCATCTAAATCTATCAAATTAAATCCAATGATTCATAATTCATCCCACTTAAAACCTTAGTCCTGCCCAAACTCACTGCACAAACCCCATCAACAGTTAATACCCCTATTGCGTGCCGCACCACTCTCTCCTTATCTCTCATCTCTAGATCCTGTGTCTGAAAAAGACGAAGTTATTAACAAAATATTATCATTTTTAAATAAAAATGCCGATCTAACAAATTTTTTAACTTATTTATCGATCTACTGCAATTTTTTATAGCTAAGATTTAATTAAATTTTTAGCAAATAACTTAGATTTCATCTAAATCTATGTAATCTAATCCAAAGACTCATAATTCAACTCACTCAAAAACTAAATCCGGCCACAAACATCGAAGGTGTGGCACACACCCCAACATTTGAGTTATAATTTTCCACGCATGTTCTTTTCATTTTTTTCCCTTCCCCTTTCACTCCTCTCTCTCTCTACGTGACCCTCTCTTCTTTCTCATAACACCCCTCCAATCTCTCCCCTCTTGCGATCATAAATTGATACCCCTCCCCTCCCACCAGGGGTGGCTCAAAGTATTTTGAGTCCTAAAACGATAATTTTAAATAAGGTCTTTTATTTTTAATATTAAGATTTTATTAAAAATTAATTTATTTTTTATTTATTATGTGTATGTGATAGAGGAAGAATCAGTGTTATCGATATAGATGTTTTAATTTTAATTTTTGTTTTTTATCATAAGAGAGTAAATGTGAGGTAAATAGAACTAGACTTTTGAGTAAATTTTTTTATACGTTTAGTTTTTTTTTTTTTTTTAACTTTTGATTTTTGAGTTTCTTATATTATAGGTTGAATCATGAGCCCAAATTATTGCAATTAAAAATTTTGATTGAACTTAAATTTTTTAAGTTCTTTCGATAAGACTTAAAATTTTTGCAAAATTAAATTTTTGATGTGTGTTAATTATATAACTTAAATTATAGGCCTTCTCAAAGGCCTAAAGTCCAAACTTTATCTATAATGACGTTGGGCCGGCCCTGCCTCCCACCAAACCCCCTTTTGCGCAACCCCCTTCCACCCTGTCTGTTTCTTCTCTCTGTAGCTCACTCCTCTGCCATGAGTCATCCTGTCGCCCAGATACTTTTATCTCTTTCTCCCCCGTCTCGACTCACGCACACACAGTCGAAACACAACGGTCAAACACACACATCACATGCACATAAGCACACCATCCTTTCCCACACACATATTATCGTTCTCTCTTTCCCTTCTTTATATTTGCCTCAAACACACACACACACACACACACACAAGATTTGATGCTCGGAATCACAGACAACAATTGGGTTCTTTGAGTTTGTATATTTTTGTGGAAAATGGTTATTGGGTTAGGATTTTCTTGAGAAATCTTTGTTTGGTATTTAAAGTAACTTAATACTGAAACTGGATAACTCTTAATTTAAATTTTTTTAATGTGGAGTTGATTTAAGTGATGTTATACTTTTGGCTAAAATTATTTAATTAATTATAAATTTGAACACATAGATGTTGATAGTGTGAAAAATACTATAGAACCAGAGCTTAAATTGTCATAATTTTTTTTTTTCCCCTTTGAAGTTAATGACTTTAAATTAGTGATTTATATAGTTTTTTTCCAAGATGCATATAAACTAAAGTATCCCTAAAAGCAAGTTTTGTTGCATGAGTAACATGTGCTCGACTATTGTTATTATGATATAAATGTTATTTTAGTTTGAATTTGAAGTGTGACTAAAATACAATATTGTCTTTGAGTTAGGGTGAGTAATTTATTCTTGAGATTGATTACGCAATGATTTTTGTTAGACAATGATGCAATTGATGTCAATCTAGACATGTTGAGATTTTTCTGATTTCTTATTTTAAGAGAAAATTTTACCACAATTTAAAAAAAAAAGTAGGGATTAGATTAATTCCAATTTCTTTAATTAAAACAAATAAAGAAAAAATTATTTCAAATTGAATGATTTTTGTAAAGATGCAAAATGTGTTTAGGCTGGGGTTATTGCTAAAATATAATATTGAAGTTCTCCATCCCAATCACACAATTGAAGTCCAAAGAAGACAATTGTGTGTGTGCAATTTGCATGTGTTTTATTTGTTACGTATTTAGTATGGTGAACTAGTTACATATGATTATGAAGATATATTTGGTTTGATCTATATTTATAGTTGTTTTGGTAGTTGAGTATGAAATATTGATTTTGAGAGAAATAGAATTAAATTGTTGCGGTAAAAGGTATTGTGAGTTCTATAAACAGGTTGATATTTTCCAAAATTTTTATTTTTAGAGAAAATTTTGCTAAAATTTTTGAAAATCGTGGGGACTAAATTTATTTTAATTTTTTTAATTAATGCATCTGAAGTAAAAACTATTACAAATTCACAGTTTATTTTAGGTTTCTAAATGCCTTTAGCAAATAAGTATTCTTCAAGTTTTGCACTGGCAATTACTAGTGACCGAACTTTTCAAGTTTGAGTCCCCACACACCTGATGTAGGTGGTTTGAAAGAAGCTATGTCTATCCGGATTTTACGTTACATCTAATCTCCCTAAGAGAGGAAAAAAAAAAACAAGAAACAAAGTATAATCCTCGGAAGTTGGAACTATCTAATTAATAATGTGGTAGTTGATCTTTGAGCTGTGGCAAAAGATAATATAAAAGATGATGACTTTATCTTTGACCGGAGAGAGAGAGAGAAGTTATAATAACAGATGATTATAGTTGATCTGTTAACTATAAAAACTCACAAAATTGTTCTAACTGTAGACACTGCATTCATGTATCTCCAATTGTGGGACAATCTTGAGCTTGTTTCTCAAGGTTCTCAATGATCATAACCAGTTTTGTGTTGAGACGATTGACAAAGCACTTGGGCAACCAACCTGCAGGGTCCAACTGAGTTCCAAAACAAGAAACAAAAACATTTAGTGAAACTTTCGTACCATGAACTTCCTCCACAAAGAAAAGTAAAATGAAAGAAAGAAAATAGCAAAAGATAAGTAATTCAGTAGTCGATTACCTGAACAACGTAAGTGACCATGCAAGAGTCATCTTCAAGCTTTTCGACAACCCATCCCGACTGCAGCAACAGTCCTCTGATAGCGTTATTTTGCTTTGGGTGTAATCCAGCTGCTATCTCTTTTGGCAGAGAAGCTACTGCCACCACCTGCAAATTAGCCTCAATTTTCGACTTTGAATAGTTCAGCAATAGAGAATTGATCCCAAATCTTTCAAAGTAAAAATTTCAAACAAAAAAGAAGTTATTTACCAGAGTTCCATCGTCCATAGTTTCACGTCGCTCATAGACAATAAATTCTCTGTTTCGGAAAAGGGATTTGGAGTTCTCTCCAAACCTTAGGCGGATGATGTTGAGGTTATCTTCCAAATCTTTTATGTATTTAGCTTCTACCAGATCAGGGTCCCATTGCTGATCCAATACAATGAATATCAAACCGAGTTAGTGACTTAAGCGTACTTGTGTCTTCCATATGAAGATTATGTACTAGTATTCAGATCAAAGTACTTTCCCAGAAAGAGTTTGTCGATTTTTGCATAAAAAAAACTGAAATGGTCCTATTTTGCCATTTCCATGGAAGGCCAGAGTGACAAGAATATAGTATAATGGACAATGTGGGGACAAAATCTGTTTTTTTTTTTTCACAATTGCCAAAACCAAGGAGGTCTTTCTTTGATCCTGTATGAGCTTCCGACTGTGCTCAAAGACGGAAGCTCATCGCTTACACTTGCTGCAGAATCATCTCCCCATTTGAAAATCAGCATATGCACTCAACGCTTATATAATTTATTTTCATTCATTCTTGGCCTAGCATAAACAATTTGTTTATGATGCTTTTAATAAGAAGTTGAAACTTGCCTTTGCAGCATCGATGGCATTGGCGACTGTGATGAATTGTCGGGGAGAGACTGATCTTAGTAACCAGCGGCTACGGAAAGTATGAAGTGATCCAGACCTGCGCTTTGATACCTCGACTCCATTGTCAAATGCAAGTACCTTCCACCCGTCACCATTATTCCCAACCTTGTTTGAGTCTGAAGCTGACAGCAACTCTTGTATGCAGCTCTCACTTGCAAAGAAGACATACCTTCTCAAAGAATCATCACTAATGGACCTTCAAATACACCAAAAAAATGAATTAAATGTAACAAGCAGAACCAACTCTCAGCTTAGAATAGTAGTCAATGAGACAGTGCTTAAAGGCAACCATGACGTCATTTATTTACCAGGATCGACTGCAAGCCGCTGGGCTGTTGCTCATCTCAGCTGCATCAACTGCTCTTTGGTTATCAATAAGGGTCCAGGTTGTAAATCAGAAGCATATAGATTGATATATATAATGCTATAGAGAGAGAAAAAGGGGGGGGGGGGGGGG